AGCCTTGGCCACAGCCCTCCTCAGAGCAGACAGAGCCACAACAGGAGCTGACCATGGTGTCAGAGGTGGAGGTTCTGGGTGGGTTTACAAGTGAGTGAGTTCCACGTTTTGGAGTCTCCTTGCTTCAGGCCCCCTTTTATACTCAGCTAAGTCGTTTCTGTAATTATGAAAATACTATTTCCTTGTTTTTGTTTACAGGATATACATGCAAATTAATAGCAAAACCTACCAACATGTAGGAAATAATTATTTGACTTCTCTCATGTTTCCTGGTGTTCCACCATGAATCACCTCTTGCATTTTCCCCCCAGTTGCCCTATTACATGTCCTCAATCCCTGCTTGTCATGTGACATGGCAGAGTTGTTGCATGCACTTCAGTTACCCTTCCAACATGATTTCAGAGGGGCTACTCATGGAGCTGGAATTCGTGGTAGATAAATGCTGGCTTCTGTCAGGTGCACCACTGGAACAAAAACAGGAGAAAGGTCCCCTTTATCAAATGTGGGAGTGTAGAATGCTCATGCACCACGTGTACATTCTAGGTGCCTGATGAGCTAGTAAAACTCCTAGGGCATTCCAGGATGTGGTCAGCCTCAGAACCCCTCGGCACCGACAAAGGGTTAAGCGTGACTTAGTGCTTTCATGCCCTGAAGGGTCTCCTGGGACTGAGATCTGTCTTTGGAAGCCCCCCAGACTGAGCTAGACTGACATATTTAATAGTTTTAAATGCATTTTTTTTTCTGGAATATTAAGATATCTCATTGCTATACTTTACTGACATCTTACCAAAATATTTTCATATGTTCTAGTTTTGTAATCTGTTTAATTTTTAGAGACAGTAAGATGAATATGACACCTATTTTCAATTTTACATGTGCTTCCACAGAAACTGCATTCATAGAGTTTACATCAGACACCAGGATTCCAGAGAAATGCTGCTTTCAATCGGATAAGAGAAACTTCTCAATAGTGGTGACAGTTCATTCAGTGACATAAAGTCCCTAATAGGACATACCCATGAAGTAACCATAGTGATTCAACTGCAAATATTTAGAATGACAAACAAAGGAAATGAGAGCTAAGGGTAGTTACCATTTTATTCAGTATACATTCAGATGTGGCCAGTAGCAACAATAAGTGAACTCAACAGGTTATAATTACGCACCGCTACACATGTGACAATAGTAATCAAAGAGAAAGAGGCCATTGATCTGAAAGAGAGTGGGAAGGTATGGAATGATTTGGAGGGCGGAGACATGGGTGGGAGGGGAGGGAGGAAAGGGAAGGGGGAAATGATGCAATTATATTTTAACTGAAGGTTAACTTTTTAAAAATATGAAATAAAATGGACTCAGTTTCATTTGTTGTTTGCAAATATTTCACCAATTGTATGATGGACATAAACTTTAAACTTAAAATGTTTCAATATATTTTTTCATTCACTAACACCTATAAATTCTTGTATTGGTATAAACAGAGTACTTTTGCACATGCTCTAAAGGGTTCTCCAAGATTGTGGTGATTGTTTGTGTTCTAACAAATAAAACTTGCCTGAAGAGTGTAGAGCTAGCCGTTAGTTAGCCATAGAGGCCAGGTAGTGGTGGCACACACCTTTAATCCCAGTGCATGGGAAGCAGAGGCAGATGAATCTCTGTGAGTTCAAGGCCACCCTGGGCTACACTAGATTGATCCAGTCTCAAAGGGAAACAGAGCCAGGCAGTGGTAGCTCACATTTTTAATCCCAGTACCTGGGAGTCACATGCCTTTAATTCCAACATTATGAAGTTGGAGACAGGAAGGGATATGGTTAGGCAGAGAAAGAAATATAGGGCAGAGGAGACAGCTCAGTCTGAGGATTCATAGGGATAGGACTGCCCCTTTAGTCTGAGGATTCAGTAGAGATAAGAGCTAGTGACTGGCTGCTCTCCTTCTCTGGTCTTTCAGCAAGCTTTATTTGTTAGATCACAAACAAAATAACACCACACAAGATAAGAATGATTTTTTTTCGAGAAAGGGTTTCTCTGTGTAGCTTTGGTACCTCTTCTGTAATTAGCTCTTGTAGACCAAGCTGGCCTCGAACTCACAGAGATCTGCCTATCTCTGCCTCCTGAGTGCTGGGAGTAAAGGTGTGCACCACCACTGGCAAACATTTTGATTTAGTGGTAAGAAAACTGAACGTCCAAGAAATGTTCCTCCTAGGTCACCCTAAGAAAGACCAAGAAAGTGAGGTGAGTTCATTATGAGACAATAAAGTGACCAAGAGAATTCAGAGATCTCAGTAGCATGGGTGTCTGAAGCTATGAAGGAGTCTATCTCTGGAGGCACTAGATTTGCGAGCATCTGCCAATGAACAATTTTAATTTTCATGAGGAAATTGCCATACAGCTCACACATTTCCAGAGATTTGGGGTTAAGAGGTACACGTTGGAATCCAAATGAGAGCCATATGTTTAGAGAGGAATGAAAGAAAGAAGGAAGGAAGCTCAAAATTTATGCAGCTTATAATAGAACATTCTGGAACATGGTCTGCTTTCATACCCTGCTGAGGGTCCTCCATCCCATGACTGACTAGTAAACAAATCATCAAAGGGGACAAGACACTCTGTGTGAGTCAAGATCAAGGTGGAGCCTAATCACAGCTTCATACTTGGGATGTGTTAGGCATCACCGGCAACTGATGGCCTAGGAGTACAAAGGGAAGTGCTTTTGGTTTCTCTTACTTCCAAGGGAACAGTCACCTGACATTCTCCTGTCCTGTGTTTCAGAGTTGGTTTTGTGGGACATCCTGCCTCCCTTGGAGTGTCATGTCTCATTAGTCTGATGGCTCACACATAATGGTCAGGTGTCTACAGAGAGCGTGAGTGTGGAAGGACATTGGCATGAGAACACAGAGGTCTGCAGGGCCTGGCTCTGTCCTGAATGGATGCCGTAGACGTAAAAGCTATACAATGTAGAATTATCCTCATGGTATAATGCTAATGACAAGACCGCAGAAAAACTGAATCTATGTGAGACCTGTTAATTTCAGGAATGTATCCCAAGCAAAACCAGAGAATTTTGACAGTCTAAGGCCTATGAACACTGACATTAAATTCCCCACCTATATGAATGACTTATGGTGCAGCCTTAGCCCAGATTTTCAGTCTGTTGTGTGAATAGTAGGAAATAAAATTGCAAATAAAGGCTTAAATATCCCTAGCTAGTGAGTGTGGTGGTATATCTTGAGTGTGTCCCTCCTGTGGAAGCTCATCTTTGCTGGTTCCTTCTGGGGCTGACCAACATCTTCTATAGTTCAGAGCACATATGAATGTCATGTCAATTTCCAGATACCTAAATTCCTCTATATTAAACTGATATGGAGAAGACATGATTTTGGTTAGATCTGAAAAATATGACTTCAAATGTGTTATAATTTCTTTAATGTCTAAGAAGGCACATTAATCTCCTCAGGAATCTAGGGTTGTCCCTACTTCTCCAATATGAAGATTCCAATTTCTAGAATCATGGGCATTCCTGGTGATTTACATTTCCTTCAATAAAATGAACAAGCACCTGATGTCTCAGGAGGATTCCTTTCTCAAGTGGATTAACCAGATACCTGCTTCTCTGTGAGTTGATATTAGGTCTCAGAAAGGATCTGTCTCCTTACCTTTGAAGTGTGTTAATCAGCGAAACTATACAGGATGTCTTGAATATTTGATCCAGGTTCTGTACACATTGAATAGAAATGATTGTTTTGAAAACAGTGAAGATGTGTACAACTAAATTCTAGCCTGAGGATTTGATGTACTTCCTCATATTCTGTAGTTCAGTGACAGGTATGCAACAGTATGATGGCATCAACTCTTGGAGTCTTGATGGGGGGATCTTTGGAACAGACATTTTGGGGGCTGGAGGGATCTTTAAACCTGTGTAAATTTTGGTGGTCTTCCAGATCATCAATTCATTATCATAGAATCTATACTTGTGCTGCAATTTATCTGTAATTCTCCCCCAAACAGTTCTGACCTCACATTTGTTCTCTACAGGAATCTGTATCCAGCCTTCACATACATAGATATATCCACTTTTAATGAAAGAAGGTATGGCACCCTTTTGTAGAGTAATTGCTGTTTCCTGTTCAGCCATATATTTTAATCTAGTAGGCACTGATGTGTTTTCCTTTCCAGTGACTAGAATACACTAATACTTCAAACCCAGGAATCCAAAGATGATTGGATTTACTGAGTTATCCTCTTCTTAGTCCATTCAGGAATATGTGTGCTTCTTTGTGTTAATCCAGGTTCTGTTGACATGGCGGTTTGTTACAACCAAAGGCATACTTCTTTTTCTACAGGAATGAAAAGTTTCCTGAAAACTTTCACTCTAAGCTTTAATTATGGTGTTTTAATTAAGGTGTTTAAAATATGAAGGTGCTAAAGAAGGTAGAAGGACAGAGAGGGAGAAAAAGGAAAGAGATATCTTAATTGAGGACGTCAGTAAGAGGCTAGTGAGAAACATGGTACTAGGGAAAGTCTCAGGATTCCACAGGATGACCCCAGCTAAGACTTTAAACAACAGTTGAGAGGATGCTTAAACTGGCCTTCTTCTGTAATCAGATTGCTGACTACCTCAGTTGTCATCATAGAACCTTCATCTGGTGTGGGTAGTCCTTCTGTATATGTGTTGCTTTTATTTTTTTAATGAATAAAGAAGCTGCTTTCAGCCAATGGCTTAACAGAGTAAAGATAGACTGAAAGAGATGTGCAAAATAGAGCTAGGTGGGGAAAACGAAACTGAATGCTGGGAGAAAGAAGGCGGAGTCAGGAGAAGGCATGGAGCTGCCAAAGGAGAAAGACATGAGTTACCAGCCAAAACCTTGCTGGTAGGCCACAAGCCTTGTGGTAAAATATAAAATAATAGAAATAGGTTAAACCCAGGTATAAGAGCTAGCTATCAATATACTTAAATGATTTGCCAAACAGTGATTTAATTAATATAGTTTCTGTATGATTATCTGGGAAGTCAGGAATGAACAAGCAGCCTTTCACAAAAAATTGGCACTCCAACATGGC